GCAAAAAAAAGTAGTAAAAAAGTAAATTATTTTTAATATATCATTAAAATCCTTTTTAAATAACAATGGTTGCCTGTAAAGTCGGTTTTACGGGCGAAGATTTTACGTGACAACGGTAGAATATTTATTGATATGAATATAATTAAATTGCACAATAGGAACAAGGAATTGAATGAAAATAAGAATTGCACAAATTTTAACTATAGAAATATATTTTGTTTACTAAAACATTGTACATGTAAACTTAAACTTAACTAATTCCTATTTGAGTGATTTTGTTGAGGATAGGACGATGATAGGAGAAATATGAAATGAAAGGAAGTGTTTCTGCTGTAATGTGTCTTGCGAAAGTCAAGTCGATAGTTGTTCCTTTTAACGTAGTTGACTTAGAAACGTTTGATACGCAATCAAGATTATACGTATTTTTCATGAATTTAAGAAACGAGTTGTCAGGCTTTACGTTTTTGTTAAAATCACCACACAGAAGAATCGGTATACTAGAATCAACTTGCACGAACGGTGGCACGTACTGGCTGTTGTGAATGTACGGACCGAGTCCTTGCCATAGTAACATTCCAATATCCTGCATACTAGCTCCTGGATGAATATATACAGCACCGAGTATAAACTTGAAGCTAGTATTAGCGGCGAAGCAAGTAACTTCAGTCATGCACATGTCACCCTTGGTTTTAATGACACGAGTTACGTCTGTAATCGCAACTTGGAACACTTCCGCCGTAGATGTCGATGATAATTTACGATCGATCGCCACTCCACCAGCCGCGTTGGTATTTGAAAATCAAAACACTTATTCAGATCGAAGGTTCAAATTTTTGCTAAATAAATTTGAAATTAAATAAAATTTGTAATTGTAAATGATGAAGTTGAAAATTAAAACATTTACTTAAATTAGATGTTAAAATTCTTGCTCAACACAGTTTAAATAAAGTTTTCTTATATCTGCCACTTTTTCTTAATATTTGTAATTTTAAAGAATCAATTCGAAAATCAAAACATTTATTCAGATCGAAGGTTCAAATTTTTGCTAAATAAATTTGAAACTATTTAAAATTTGTAAAATAATAATTAATTAATTATTTAATTTTAAACTAATAATTTACTTAACACTATCAACATTTATCAATAGTGTGACATAACCTATAAACTCAGTTTCTCAACTTTTGTGTCAATCTAACAATTAATCAATCAATCATAGTTTACGATAATGAAATATCAGTGTACAATTATTTACCTTTATTGTTGTAGTTGTTGTAAATGACGAATCTAAGCACTCCACATTTTCACTACAGACACAGCTGACGATACTTTAACCACACGTGTGAACTTGTATTATGACGCTTTCTTGTTTTTCCAACGCCAAGAACGTTCGAGAAAGACAGAGACAAGCATGCGCCGATTCAATGCGCCTAATTCTCTAGCGCTGCGCGCGCAGCACTCTCGTTCGATGACTCATCGTAACGTTACCGGGCGTTACACTTTTTCATAAGTGACTCCCAGCCGCAACCTAATTTAAGACGTTGTCACGTCAAAAATTGAATACTCTCTGTATAATAAATAAAACCATTTAGAACCAAATTTTACTTTCCAAATAATGATGTAAAATTTGTGCTGAATGGTCTTATAGCTTGTACATATAGATATGGCGCGTTGTTACATTATATTGAATAATCAGATATAGCTGTGTATTTATAGTTAGTTTTGCACGAACTTTCTTTAGATGAGAATATCATATAATCAATGCTAGATAACATATATTATCATTATCGATTTATTTAATAATTGATACCAATTATTGAATAAGGTCCTTTAGATAACAATACTATTCAATCATTTTAAGAGAATATATATGTAAATATATGGTAATATATATTTTATTTGTGATTAGAACACTGATAAATGATATTCCTCATATAAAGAAACCTTGGCTTCTTGTGAATTAACTATATGTAATTTCTAATTTACACTCATTGAAAAACTTAAGGAAGAGGAAATATCTTTGATATTTCCGGTAGTTTGTTTTATTTTTCTAAGGAGTGAGAGGTAATTTTGTTCACATTTGGTTATCTCGTGTGTCTGCAACCAATGTCACTGTGTATCAGATATCTTTCAGAGTTATTGCCTGAATCCCGATATACATGCTAAAGGATACAACTTCCTTAATTTTGTCCATTAGTATATTTGAGCATTAATGATATTATTTTATCATTTATTCAAACTATTGACTATAGTTATTTTATATAAAAATGGTATATAATGGACACTAAGAAGGAATATGTAGTTTTACTTAGATATATAATTAATTATAAATACCCTGCTATAGGATATGCGGTTCTTGAAATAAGAAGAGGTAACAATGGTTGCTCAGGTATAAGCATAAAAGAAACCTAGGTATGGGTATAGTGTAGGTATTAGTAGAGCTACCTAGGTTTGTGAACTGTTTTCCTCTTCTTCAGAGAACCCTTTATTATGTATAATTGATGTGTTTATATATAATATTATTAGGTTGATATGAAATTATATCAGAATTTCGCGTTCTGTACTTTATTTCTATTAAGAAATTTAATAATTTTAAGTTATACAACTCGAAGTAATGTAAAGAAAACCTTCTAATAACTCTCTGAATATTTCTCAGAGCAAAATGGATTCCTGAAAGGTAAAATTCTTTAATCTCAAGAAATCGCAAAAAAAAAAAATATTCAATCGATATTTAAAGAATGTGACCACGGCTAGAGAAATACGTATATATCGTCACAATGAAAATAAAAATTTATATAAAATTTTAGTTTGACAGAAATTTTTCTGCAAAAAATAATTGGGAATAAAAAGTCGGCAAACTCCTCGTACATTTTCAAACTTTTGTGAAACTTTGTTTAATTTTTGTAAAATTCTGGTGTATATTATTTGAAAGGTATATTAAAAATGAGATATATTTAGAAAATATTTTTCGGGAAAATAATGCACACACAACACCCACATACCACATAGAGTTTTATATTTAGCTTTTTCAGACATTTTCACCTCTTGTATCTTAATACAGACTGGTTTATCCTATGTATATATATCTCTCTCACAGGTGAGGCGAAGGCTAACATCTACAAGTACCATCTCGGTCTTAATTTGAGTAACGCCAGCCACCACATCGACCTGCCCACTCTGTGGGAAAGATCTCTCGCAGTCCACCGTTGGCGGAGTCTTTCCCGCGGTGGGCGTCACCAATGAAGACCATATATATATATATTTATATATTTATTTTATCCTTATATTTATTATTATTTATTCATTATTGTATTTAACCTTATATGAACGATATAATAAAATAAGTTTCAATCTCTCTCTCTCACACAAATAAAACCTATAACAATTAAATAATAAAACTGATGGAATTACTTCGAGAATATAAATGACACTAACAAAACAACCAATGTAATACGAAAAGTAAAATATCTCCCTAACATCATTGCACGAGTGCTCGAATAACTTGAAATGACATCATTTAGATCTAAAAAGTAAACTTCTCAAGTTGAATTTCAACTTGAGAAAAACAGCCAATGTTAAATCCTGTTTTAAAATGGGTATAAATCTTCGCTCAAAGAGTTGACTTAATGAGGCAAGTTTTATAAGATAACTGTATATCTACTCAATGAATGAAAGGAAGAAAAAATTGCAACGAGTTTCTTTATTCTAAATGTTGGCGAGCTTTCAGGCGTTAGCCTATCTTCAGGCCGATTTGGCAAAAAAAAAAAAATAAATATATAGTTTAGATTTTGTGTTATTTGTATATTTATATATATTTTTGCGAAATCGGCCTGAAGATAGGCTAACGCCTGAAAGCTCGCCAACCTTTAGAATAAAGAAACTCGTTGCAATTTTTTCTTTCTTTCATTCATTAAATATCTAATTGCAATTATTTAGGATTTTATTGTGTATATCTACTGTTTAAATCAAAAATCCTTTCACGTTTCAAAATTGGCCAGGAAAAGAAAAATATAAAAAAAAATGTCAGACCTTCCAATTTTTGTTGACAACAAAGTCCTCGTTAAAAAAGTAAAATAAAAACTGAATGAAGATCGTTTTTTAACAATCAAATTTATTGTTGAGGAAATAAATATTGATATGTAGACACATTTTCTTAACTTATATTGAAAATGTAGGTAAGAAAAAGGTTTTATTCGCATTATATGTCTGATGACCAAAATCATTAGCGGATTCAATATTCAAATTAACCCTCTAAATAACAGAAAAATCCAAAATTCAAATAAATATTAATAAAATATTAATTAAATTATGAAAAAAGGATATGAAACCTAGTGTGTTGTACAATTATTCTACATCTAAACTACAAAATGCTGATTGGAAATCAGCAGACTATCTAGAAGTCAACAATGTTTCTCTATCTCTATGGTACATTTATATGACATCAAGGGTGTTATAAACCTTGAATCTGCCCTTGATAACAAATTGTGATGCTCTTTTTAATATAGAAATACGGAAATAAATTTTAAATAGGTTTATTCGACTACGATTTGAATATTCAAAGATTATTCGAGTAGTTGTTGTCTTCCTCATGACAATTCACTTGCTTGTTGGGAACCAATACTCTCTCACAATAAAATGGTATATGTAAATACAGAGGGTGTTCCATTTTCAAAATAACGATATTAGTAAAGACAGAGGATGCCTGGCCGGCATTCATATTTCTATGTAAAATAGACACTTCGGCCAGTTAGAGTTATTTACTTCTCCTGACGAAGACAAAAGATTTTTGTCGAAACGTTGAGAAAAATAAAAAACTCTAACTAGCCGAAGTGTCTATTTATCATAGAGATATTAGTATTTTATTAAAAATAATCTACTAAGGTTTGTACAACTTATTAAAATATACAGTTATCAGCGTCATAATCAAGCAACCATTCTTAATAAATTCTGTCACCGTTTGCTTTGTGAATGGAATAAATACCCAAATATGGCCATTTCTCATAACCATCGGTGGTTCAGTGGTAGAATGCTCGCCTGCCACGCGGGTAGCCCGGGTTCGATTCCCGGCCGAAGCATTTTTTTTTTTTACAATTTTTAAAACTCATTTATATATTATACAAGAATGACATCCACGGCGCCAATTTATAATTGTAACGAATAGTATTTGAATAAAAGCATTTAATCGAGTAAAACCTGGGCGTTGCCCGGGTCATATTCGGCTAGTTGTTTTATATGTGTAGGTCTTGACGTTTAGCAAAATTGTTATTTTTAAAAATGGAACACCCTGTATATGTTTCATAACAAAATGTTATTTTAATATTAATTATATTTTTTCAGAAAACAACTCTTGTTGTTAAGTTGGACGCCAGATAACGCCGCTATACCCTATACAAATTCATTGTTTTTATTTCTTTTATCTGGCTAGCACACACATTTTGTAATTATGTAAATAAGTATTCAAGTTTCAATTTTATTTTCTTCTTCACGCCTCAAATCAGGAGTTTCCTTTTCAATTTGTTTTATGATTTCAAATCAAATAGTGATTTAAAGTTATTTTATTGTGTTTTCTTCAAAAGGTTTTTCAAGACTGTATACCATAGATCAAATACTCGGGTAATACTGTATATATATATACTAAGGTGATTAACGCTGTATTAAATCTGAATATACTTCATCTTCAATTTATGCATACATACCGCGAGTGAGTTTTAAGGCATTGCACTTTCCATTTGCCCTAATGGATTAGAGAGGGTTTGGATATAATAAATCCATTTGTGATAAAGCTCCGAGTATACTAGATTATATCATCGTGTATTGGTTATATATATTTTAATAGTTTTTCTATTGTTACTATATAGATGATAGGGAAAAATTCAATTTTAACGATGTTAATCATTTTGATATTTTAATGCAGGCACTAAGCTAACTAAGCGCTGAATATATTTATTTCTCCAGTTTTCAAAGTAAGTTTTAATATCATTTTATATATTTCTCAAAACCTCTCTTCTTCTATTTAATATCTTTCATTAAATATTTATTTTATCCAACTAAATCCAACTAAAGAATAAAAAATGTCGATAAGGACCAAGTTTTGAATAAAAGGGAGGTTGTGGAATCTTTATCATTCAATATTTTCAAATAGAAAATTTAGAACTTAGATAAGAAGAGAAACTGAGTGAAAATTTTCAATGTGTGAAGTACCTAATCATATATTTCCATCTATCTGGAATTTTCAAATTCATATACCGCTCTAAATCACCTAAATCCATCAAAATAAACTTCCATAAGAGATATATTGTGACTTATATGGGATCTTGGTATCTTTATTCCTGTGTGTGGATGAAATCACCCTTCGCTAATGCTGCGACAAGACTGGACAGAGTAGCATCACAGAGCCTGGTGGAGCCACCGTTGACAGTGGGGAACAGCACAGCTACTTAATGTATGGAAATGTGTTGTTGTCCTGTTTTTCTATTTATACCCAACCTTGACTTGATCATTTTATTTTTTACTTCGATCATTGCAGCCCTGATTGCTTAGTTGCTGTGTGTTAAATAAAATACTTGTTAAGTTTTTTTATGTAGTTGCTTTATCCTACTGGCGAGTACATGTACAATAGGAATTACTAAAACACTCCCACGAGCAATTTGAAAGGATGAATACCAATCGTAGATTCTCTCTCTCTCTCTCTCGTGACGAAAATAATATTCACTTTTAAAGACATTAAATAACATTTCATTCGAATGTGTAAAGGTCTAAAAACTCTAACTCAAATAAAAATATGATATAATATTTTTAAGTAAGAAGAGAATATACTTTTTCTCTGACCGTGGAATCTAGTCCGTACAATTATCTATAATAATTTAACGTTACACGCTTTTATTATGAATTTATATACATTTTTCAATTAGTTAAATATTTGTTTTATCATAATATTCTGTAAATATATCTAAAAATTAACATATCTCTGAATATATAAGTGAACCTGAGTGAAGGCCAGAATGGGGAAGTGACTTACCCGTCGCTTGGAGCGAACGACCTCCCTCTGATGGGCCGACATCTCGCCGATGCCCTTGCTGCCCCACAGCACGGAGCCCATCCAGCAGTACGTCACTGCCATGAAGATGATGGGAACAACGTAGGTCATCAGTAAGAAGATAACGTTGTACCTGCACATAAGTAGCTTGTATTTACTGGAAGCATTCTTTTACACCTGGTAGAGGTAGAGTTATATTGTAACTAAATATCGACATAAAAATACCTTGCCCTCCAGAATAAGATTATCAAATAAATGTGGCATCTCTATCGATCGTCTTCCCAATCTCGCAGACTTGACTCAATGGGAATCCTACACCAACGACGTTAGAAATTAGGAACGCTCACCTGGAGACCATTGTTTTGGTCTATGGCCTCTTTCAATCCAGGGCTATTTCAATTTTATGAAGCCCAACGAGGAACTCGTGCAATATATATATATAACATAAAGTTGCGAGGGGATTTAATGAAATCGAAGTCGCGCCTGTAATGATGAGAGCCAAAGCCTGAAAATGTGATATAGTTTGTTGGAAATTGCTAAAATTAGCGTTGTAGCAATTCTTCCTCGCCACCTTTATCTTCTGTATTCGAGTGATGAATCTAATGAATTGTTTCAATGCATTTTAAAAGATGAGTTGCTCCTTCTGATACTTATATGTCATGTCAGTTGTGATAATGTGTCATAACTAATATTCATGACACCCTTATATCCTGTCACCTATATTTTTGTAATAAGCCGTCATGCTGGTGTGACGAAGAGATATCTTGTGACAATAGGATTGTAAAACATGGAGCAGAGTGGATCGTGTCAAGGCACCCACGACCAGACACACGCGGAAAAATTGGACCCGTAGAAATCTTCGAAATCCCCGGCCATCTTCCTTTGTGTGTATAGGGTAAATACCAGGAATGACTAGTACAGTGGAACCTTCGATTAATTCTATAAAAGTGTATATAAATCTCAAATTTTTCATAAATCTCCTGGATTTTAATAGAATATTAAACAGGTTTTTGGAGATGAATTTCTTCATCATATTTGAATGGAGATTCTTTATGATAAAGGAACTCATATCAAAAACCTGTAGCATTTGTTTAATAAATATACATGTAATTATCTCCATGAACTAGAATAATAACACTTAAGGATAGTGAAAAAGCCTTCTTTGGATTACTCACACATTTGACTTCAATATATTTTATTGAGTTTCAAGTTTTCAATTCAAACTACTTTATAAAATTACTATCAAGACAATGTATTGTGAAATGCAATGTTTTCCAGACTATTGTTGATGCCTGGAGTGAGAAACCTGTTGTTTTAGAATATTCGCGTTGTCGCTGAACGCCTTACTACAATAACATTCTTAGAATTAGATATAACATATATATATATATAACATATGGCAAAATGTTTACTTTGTAAAGGTTTTTTACCTAGGTGCAGTCGATATTGAGAAAGTCGAAAAATTAAATATTTCCTTAATTTTTTAAAAAGATAGTATAAATTTGATTTTATACTTATACAAATAATTTAACATCCCAAAAATATTTATAAAAATTTACACTGATACATTATTATATAAATTATAAAATACATTTTCTATTGTTGCCAAACAATAATTAAATACCGACAATTTCAACTAACTAACATATGAATTAATTAAAATATATAAATACGCTGTATGAAATATATGTGTATGTTGTTGTGTTGTAGGGGGTCATATATAACAATTTTATATTTACTAATAACTAAATATTATGATGGATTAGCCCCACATCTGTTATGAAAATTCGAAACTATTATAGATGCGTATGATTCTTAAAATTGTTAATTATTAAAAAGAATCATACGCGTCTATAATATTTTCGAATTTTCATACCTTCAAATATGAAATGTACTCTAGATGAATTATCATTAAACAATTAAATTATGAATTATTTAATAATCAATACGCTAATTTTATATTTGAGAGGTTTAGACTGTCGAACAACAATGGTTCAGAGTTCAGAAGGATTAACTAAGAAGTATGTCTATCTAAGATATTGACAGAGCTCTATAAAACAAGATGGGCCAACACGTTGAGAAAGTCTGAGACGCTAATTACGATAATTATTATCTCCCATGACACCTAGTGTTTTTGTCACCGCTCGCGTCGAGGAGGACTTTTTGTCCGGCGATATTTGACCGTGGCGTCAAACTTAACAGCCATTGAGTAATTGATTAACTCCGCCCTTTATCAGCCGGGGAGGTGGATATGCAAATAAAAACATTCTGATGGGTTTCAATGACCTTCTGGGTTATTGGGGCCGTTAACTTCAGAATTCTCAAACGTAGATTTTTAGTGTCTTTAGAATCATTACAAATATCTTTTAAAAAAGAACTGTATATATTCATCATTAGTATTGATCTTCATACAGCAGTCTACTCAGCTCTCCCAATTTCTTCTGAGTTTCATTTATGTGAGCAATAGTTACCCAGAAATTATTTGAAAAAGTAAAAATCAATATCAGGTAAAAAGTTTCTTTTTAATTTAAATTTGCAAGCTTTCGAGCAAATATACTGTTCTTCAACGGGCTGATATTCTATGTACTAACTCTAAATAATATATATACAGAATAATTGGAAAATTTTGTTATTAGCATTATTAAACAATTATGTTTAACTAGACGAATGGCCCGGGCAACGCCCGGGTTTTACCCGAGTGCGGATATGTTTTTGAAACGTTGTCTTGGGTGGTCGCTATAGACAGGGTGGTCTGTATAGACAGGTGAATGTAACACACAGCTGATAACAGGGTTGTCTAGAGTGGCCGCTATAGACAGGGTGGTCTGTATAGACAGGTGGATGTATCACACAGCTGATAACAGGGTTGTCTAGAGTGGCCGCTATAGACAGGTGTATGTATCACACAGCTGATAACAGGGTTATCTGGAATGGCCGCTATATACAGGGTGGTCTGTATAGACAGGTGGATGTATCACACAGCTGATAACAGGGTTGTCTAGAGTGGCCGCTATAGACAGGGTGGTCTGTATAGACAGG